TAACGATTAGTAATATGATGGAAGCCGCATCCAATAACACCTTTCAGGTTGAATTTGTTAGAGGCAGTATGAGGAACATCAGCGATGAACGGGATTTAAGTATAGTATTTTCTTGCGCCGATTATTTAATTAAATCAATTATATAAAACAAATTTATAACATATTTTATCCTTACTTTATAATAAATATTGCATAAAATTTATTTGTACTTTTTAAAAAAACTTTTACCTACAAGATATAATATCCCAGAGACTTGCAGTTCGGTATACTAATGCCTGATCATATAAAATCTGGGCCAGGCCTAACCAAATGTAATACATTTAATTATACCAATAAACAAGTTGAGAAATAACATGATGTATAATACTAAACATTTCTTCGTTTCTCATTTTCGATTTCCTTTTGAAACTATTTTCAAAAATATGCTATTTAAAATAACCAAGTTTTTTTAAAAGAATTCATAAAAACAAAGGCCCTAATTATAAAAATCCAGGAATCACAAAGTCTAAAATTAAAATTAAAAGGGGGGGGGGGGTATGAAATTTTTTTTAAAACCCGACAACAAGAGCTTAACCTTATGCAGGTCTCTGAAATATACATAAAAATCTAAATTTTATTTTATTCTTATTAATATGAAAATTTTAGGAGAATTTATAAATTCATACCTTTCTCAACACGAGGAAATGAGCTATTTATACCAAAAAGATGCAGCTGAAAATGACCTACCCAGTTACAAAGACAGAATGCTCAAATTTATAGAAGATTACATGAGTAGAAATAACAAAAAATCAAGATACATTCTATCTATTAATCAATGGCTTAGTCCTGTAAAAAAAAATGATTACACGAAAATTAATTACAACATAACAAATATTATTTATTATTTATTATTAAATTATAAAATTTTATTTAAAGAAAGGAAGCTATTCTGTCAGCCCTCTTGTTCTTAGGCATCGTGACCCCTATGTTCCTTTCAAATCAAATAAGAAACTGGACTTGGAAAGTTTTGTGGAAACTTATTCTGACTCTAAAATACCCCGATTAACATACGAACAGATGGGAATAAAAAATTATGACACATCAGGAAAGGGTTTTTTTTTATAAAACTATATTTTTTCCATTCTAATCCATAACTTTTTTAAGAGTAAATCTTCATTTTACTTCATAAAATATGAGATATTATATTAATAAAATATAACCTGTAAATTATAATATAGAACAACATATGCTTAAAGCTAAGTGTGATGATACCTTCCGTAACCTGATTAATCGTTTAATGATGGGGAATGACACGGATAATCCAAGGACCTCTACCGATTCTACCATCTTTAGTGATAGTATTACTTTGTCGGACTCTACCGATAGTGATAGCATTTCTGACTCAAGTGAAAGCACCTATTCCAGTGATAGTACTTCTTATTCGAGTCAAATTACTAATGAATATAGCGACGATACCACCGAATATTATAAAGGTTCGACTATTACTGGTTTTTTAGCTGGAATTGTGAACATTTTTAGAATTTAGCTTCCTATAAGATTAATTAATTTATTATCTCGACTCATTTCCTAAGGATCATATCAGCTATGTATAATGATCCGAGATCTGCAGGCTCAATCGTTTTTTAATTTTTTTTTACCTGAGCCAGGTCTAAAATTGTTGATCACGCTGGGCCTGAAAATTTTTTTTAAAAAAATCCGAGCCTGGCCGGGCCTGTATTTCTACAGATCTCTGATAATGAAAATATTAGTTGATAAAAATTTGTATAATTTTAGTTTTGAAAATGGCATTGTCTTGTATCAGCATAACAGATATTTAACATTAATATTTGGTGCTGGTGGTAAGGGCCCACCTCTTTTATGGGTGAAAATAACTTTTTGTAAGATGTGGGTGGATATTTGTTTCATCAATATTTTATACGAACATATTTAAACATAAAAATAACATGATAACAAATAGAAAAGTGAGAATTCGAACTCGGTTCAACATATCACACTTGAAGCCATCAAGTGATTAATTAAAACATTATTTATATAATAAAATTAAGTTCTGCCTCCTTTTGTTTGGCCCAATGATTTATTATATACTTCCTACCACGTGTTAATCAAATTTTTTTTAAAAAAATCACCTGTTTTTCTTATATTTTATATTTAAGCTAAAGATGAAGACTAGGAAAAAAGGTAGCGCTGAGAGTTTTGTCAGATAGTATTCAGAGGCGTCACTAGCCTTTACAATCTCAAGGGGCTCAAAAAACTTTTTTAATTATTTATAAATGACCTTTATTTAGCTAACTTTCCATCTTTTTGTGGTTATAAAAAAAAATTTAAAAATTTTCAGGGGGCTCTTCAAATTTTAGGGGGCTCGAGCCCCTGCGTCCCCTTTCCTGGTGACACTATTGATGATATACACAAAAACTAAATTCTTATTTGAATAAAGAAAGTAGATTAAAGAATTTTTTTATTCCATTTTTTTAACATAATTTAATTAATTTTTTAAATAATATGTAATTTAACCAATATTCAGAGACAGAGAAAAACAAATAAACATAAGTTTTACTTTTATATTTTCAGAATATTTATTTTTGAACATGATTCGTTGGCTTTACAATTTTCAAAAATCACTATTTAATCTGAATGTTTGCTTTTTGAGTTTAAAACTTTCTATTTTGTTTCTCCAACTCAGACCTATATCTGAATTCTCCCTTCCCCATTTTACCTGATCTTTATTTGCATATCAATATTAAATTTTATTTTACGCACCGCCCCACCACCATACTTTTAACCCCTTCTCATATTATCTATCCAACCCCAACTTACTGTTCTTTCTCCCTCTCTTCTTTATATAAATATTTCCTTATAGAGGCTTTACTCCCTATCTAATTTCTATACCACCCCTATATCAGTTTATCTTCGCCTATCCTAAGTCCTAACCTTTCCACTCTTCCTATTAATCTAACATTTGTTTTTCATTCTACCCATATTACCCACTTGTAATTAAAATTCTGACTTAGATTCTCTCTAAAACCGTAATCTTCAAAAATATATTTCTTATATTATAACTAAAAAATGGATTTGTTAAAATTAAAAAATTATTTTTAGTCATCTTAGTTTTCGCCAGATTTTAAATAATTTTATAAAATTCAAAAAGCATTTAGCAGTTTATCGTAGATTGAGGTCTCCAAGATATTCTTAAAGGAGATTTGGTGGGGTTTTCTATCATAAATTTTATTGGAGGTCTTTAGGTCCATTTATTGTAGGCCTTTAGCTATACTAGATATATGCGCTGACACCTATCGGCGGTGGCGTTTCTTTTTTAAAAACGATCGGCTGGTGGCAGCGAATTGATTTAGACGCAGCCACAAAAATCAGCGTCACGGAAGCGTCAAATATTTTTCTAACTTAATTTTTTTTTTAAATTAAAATTATAAATTTAAGAAACACTTTTAATATAAAATCTATGCTTTATTATGCAAAATTTAATGGTTTTATTAAGTTAAAGTTATAATTATCATATATAAATATTATTTTATTTAGATTTATAAGAGATAATTTTCAGAGTTCAGATTGAGCCAAACTGTGAAAAATATACGCTCGCTTGGTGTGCTTGTTGCTGGAACATTTCTAGCTAATATTGAAAGTTTAGGAAGATCCAATGCTCTTATCTTCCAAAAATCTAAGACAAATTTTATTTCTAAATTATAAGATGAAAATAATGAATAAAATTCTTTTTCTAGACTAGTTAAATAGTCTTGCTATTCCGGATTTTTGTGATAAATGTTTGGTAGCTAATATCTTAGCTAATCGAATTCTGAATCAACTTCTACGACTTCACAGCTAATTTGTCCGTGTAAAGAGAGGTTGCGTGTTGACATAAAATTATACTGAAGTAAAATATTAATACTATGTTCATAGATTAAAAACAAGGATCCATAAGTGCTCCTAGCACCTAAGTAAAAATATAAAACAAGGAAAAAATGAATAAAAACTAACAATAAAACCTGAAGATCGGTTTTTGGAAATCAATGATCAAATTTATTAAGCATATTTTGTTTAAAGGATGCTATGGAAGGACTATCACCTTCTTTTACTATTAAATGATTTTTAATTTCGCTATGAAATAAAAAAGATACATTTATAGCACAGAGTCTCAATTGGAGTTAAATAATTTGAGATCCGGGCAACGCATTAGGGCGGCCCACATGTCTAGTTATACTATATTTTTATTAAAATAATTTTGGGTTTTCACTTATCTTTTTATAAAAAATGCCTTAGGGGGGGGGATCCCTCGCCCCCTAAATTAAATGCATGATCCCAGGTATCATCCAACCTTTATTCATTGGGAACTAAGATATATTATTTTAAAAATGTAAAATTTAATGTAATGTTCGAAATGATACATAACAAATTAATATTCTTATTATAAGATATTCCTTCCTGCCAACTAAATTTTTCAATAATGCACTAAAATTAAATCACAATTAAAGGAATTAGCTCCAGGGTTTTTCTTAACAAAGAATGGTGGGAGGCAACTTGACAAGTGCCATTAATATCTAAAAATTATTTTTTATTTAGAAAACAATCTGGCTAAAGTTGTAAAGAATAAGGATGATGCCTCTTACAGTATAAATGTTCCATGGAATCCGTCAAGTTTTATAATCATATTTCAAAAAAAACCTAATATCAATATTTTTGTAGAAAAACAATTGAATGGCAAGCTCCGGAATCCTATACTGTCGTTCGACATTAATTTAAGTCTGAATCAATATGTTATCCTATATAAAGCTTTATTTTTTACATTTCTAGACCTTCCTCCTCAGTTTTCGTTAAAATATTGATTTCGGCATAGAACATTATTTACAAACCGTTGTTATGAATGATAATGTGTTTAGGTTATATTATATAAGACGTACGTCGTTTGATTATTTTATTAAATCCTCAATCATTTAAATATCACAAATTACATCATAAATATATAAAGAAACAAATATTATAATAATTTGGTAAGTTTATTTTAACACAATAAATAAAATATAAACACAATTTATCAAAATTTATTACAAGTCAAACATTTAATGAAATTTTAACTAGAATCTTGTAGTCTCCTAAAAGAGGCAAGCATAATACTAAATAAAAAATATTTTATGTTTCCTTTATTATACTGTATGTATATTAAACACGTAATAATTTTATATATTATATTTTCTCTAATAAAATGTGACGTTTTTAAATAATATAGATGAAATTTATAAAAATTTCATGTATTCATTAAGAGTTCTGTGAAAAATGCCTTGCGTTTTTTATCTAACACGTATTGATCTTGAATGGACATTTCTTTTATTGTTTTAATGTTCCGAGAAACCGATTTTGAGGATGGGCTGAGAGCTAAAGTCGCTTCGTTTCTAATGAGGACTCTACTGAATATTGAACCTTAAAAAAAATATTTATTAGTTATTTGTCAGCAAAATTGCGGGCGTCATTTATAAAATGTAATGAAGTTTAAAATAAATCAGCAACATTTGGACAATATACAAATATATTGTACTTTTGTTATAACCGGTTCCTATATATTTTAAAATGTTTGGCTACGGTTTTTGATTCTATCCGGTTCCGAGATCTAAACTCTGGTGTTAAATAAAATCGATGTATAATTTAAAAATATTATATGATTTTTCTTTAAAAAAAATTTATCGAAACTGGCTACGGGCCGGGTAAAAAGTATTTACGGGCAGGACGGACAAAGTAGTTTAAAAGACTGGTTCGGGAAGTACGATCATTAATTTGTATAAAATTTAAGTTTTTAAACTATATTTTCAATGAAGCAACGAATTATCTAATATATAATCGATAAAAATGGTTGGCCATTTTATTTAGATACATTTTATTCTGTTTATAGATACATTATATTTATCAAAATGAACTTAGCAAACTTTAAAATCTCCCATATTTCGTATAACACATAATACATACAAACAAAATGGGTATGCTTAATAAAAATTAATGAAAAATGATATATTTACTAAGGAGATCATAATTGACTCCGTTGTATGCCGAAAAATCTAAAAGACATTGTAGGAAGGCTAAAATGAATTTGCACGTATCCCGATTTATGATAGGCATTTTATCCAGAATCTAAAAAACAAACATTTAAAAAAATTATAAGATAGAAAAAATTTAAAATTTGTATCAATAAGTTCTCGTAAAAATGTAACCTTAAAATCCTTTGACCTATATTATAAATAAACAAAAGCAACACAATAAATAACATCCCTTAGCTATTTTATCCATAGTCGTTCTATCCAGATAAGTCTAGGATATATTTAAATTGATATTTAAAATATCCAACAAACAATCCAAGCGGTTTCACCATTAGAAAAAAGAAGGAAGAAATAAGGTTCCAAAAAAGAGTGCAAACAAACAATGGAATCCAAAGTCGGTAAAATATTTATATAATTATATGCTAAACTTGTATTCCATATTATTTTTATAAAAAGTATCTGTGTCGATATATAATAATCGATACATTTCACATGTGCAATTTTATTTTACGGTTTTTAATTAAAATTATTTGATCCCTTTTTTTGTATTTAAATTTGTTAAATATTTCTCCGGGTTTTTTTTATTTACACTTAAAATAAGCAAGACAGGCACAAACTCTATGCGATGGATGGTAATTATATATTATTTTTTTAAGATTTTATACTATAATCTGATTTAAATGAGTAAGAAACACAACATCAGAAGGTTCAAATATTGAATTTCCTTGGCCAATTTACAATATTTATTTTAAAATAATAAAAAGAACAATTCTAAGATAATGAAATGATTATCGTGTTTTCCATTGAAACCAATATTTCAGTAAACCTAAATTCAAGATATATAGGATTTTGACGAAAAGTGAAACCTTATATAAACTTGTCTAGAAGATTTGGTAAGGGTTACAAAGGACTTTAACAATTTCAATAGTTGAGAATCCTATTTTATTAAAATGATAAAATATAATTTGATGATAAAATTGGTTGGTATTGGTTATGATCTCATAAAAATTAAGGAATGAAATAATCAAAAAAAAACTTTTAGAAACAACTATAATGCGTCACAAATTCTGAAATTCAACAATTATAATTTTTAAAAAATTGTATCGTAACATCTATATCTTACCTTTTTTTTAAAAGGGATTTAAGGGTATTTTTAAATGTGAAAATATTTTTTTAACAAAACTGGATATATCTAATATTTAAGGAAAGATTTTAATTGCAAAACGATCAATGTAAAAAATTACAGATTTATTATTTATTTCTATTGCGAGGGTTAAGTTATTAAAAGGTAATCACCTCTCCCGCCATGGGTATATCACTCAAATGTTCCCTATTCATCCTGTTGCTACTGACACTAATGTGCCCGCTCGCGTTAACCTTGTTATCAAACGATCCATCGTTTTTAGATGTATGTCTATGATGGTGATGGCGTAAGTGCAAATGAAGTCCGAGATTTGACTTGTTTGACAGATTATTTGGCAAAGGTTTACTACTAGTTAATGAGGAATTATTTGTTGAAGATTTATTAGTTGGTGAGGAATTATGACTTGGTGTTTGGATAATCGAAAGAAATAAGGTGTCGTAAAGACCGATAGGGAAAATGGGACTTTTGAGAGATTCGAGAAATATTATGAGGGCGTCGCATACAGAATGAACGCTACATTCTTACAAAAAATATACATTTCAGATATTAATGCTTGTAAATAAAACGTTATTTTATGTTAATCATGGAATTATCGTGCATTAATATACTATCGTAATTATTATCGCCAAGCAAGGTTGTGAATCCAAATTAGGGTTTAGACCTTTAAAAAAGTTCTGGTTCGACATTTTGATACCACAGACCAAACTGGAACAGATATAAACCACCCCTCGAACCCGGGGCGGATTCAGGCCCAAAGGCGTCACTAGCCTTTACAATCTCCGGGTCAAATTATTTTTTTAAATTTCTATTTTTTTTACTAACATTTCCAAAATGACCTTTTTCCAGTTAACATTATAAAATGACCCATTTGTAAAGGTATTTTTTAAGAAAAATCAAAACTCAGGGGCTTTATAAATTTTTAAGGGATTTGAGCCCCTATGCGTCCCCCCGAGTGAGGCTGGTCCTTTTAGGAAAATAGGTTTAAGTTCCTGTTAACAAAATTTCGGCGAAAGTTTAAAATTTCTGAACCATTTTCGGGTTCATAGTCCATCGCCAGGTTTTAAAAATTATTAAATAAGATGAATCAAGTTAATAGTCCATACCACAACCTCAAATAGATATTATTTTTATTATCTCAAGATAAATTCATAAATTTCGGCAAAATTTTCAATCTGACTTTAAATAATTGTTAAAATAAATATTTAAAAAAAAAATAATTATCAGATTTATTCATTCAAAGATTTGAAGATTATATTATTTTTTTTAATGATTTTCGTTTAAATCAATAACAATTAACGAGTGATGTCTAACTCCTCATTCATAGTTAGCGCGAATTCGCGGCAAAGAATACAAAATTTTGGTTTATAATTCACCCGAATTCGCGCTATCTGTGAATGAGAGGTAACAAGCTGTGTTTAAAATAATTCTAAATCCTCATGGTTTTTTAACATATTTTAGAAAAAAACGTGGAAATTTGAGATTCCGAATTCTAAGAGATTCCATATCCCATTATGAGTTATGACAAGTATAAAATCGAATTAATTTTTTATAATTAAATATATATATAAATTTGAAAGAATTTTTTTTTAAGAAACTTTTAATAGCTGGGGTTCCTAAATCTAATGAATCCCTAATGACGCAAATTTCTTTCATCAGACCAGGTTTTTGGAAGAGCTCGGGCTAAATATAAAATGTAAACATGTATATAAAAATATAAATTTATTAAGGAGTCAAATATTAATAGAAAAAATTAGTTCTTTTATAATATAACAATCCTGAAAAGAAGTTTTATATGTTTCTCTTTTTAATTTAACAATTCAGTGCCGTCCCTAAAATATTTGGAGCCCTTGGACAAAAATTGAAGAGGGGATTATCTTGGCTGGTGATATGAATGGCGTGGGAGAGAGTAGTGAGGGTTATGTGAGGATTACATGAAATCAGGATTGGGAGAGAATTTTGAACTGGTAATACTATGGATATGAATGTTTGTAATACAATGTTTAAGAAAGAATCAGAGAAGGTGATTTAGAAGTCGGGTAGTGCGAAGTGCGGTGGATTATTTGTTAGTAAAAAGAGATAGGAGCATAGTAAAAAATGTGAAAATGATACGAGGAGAAATGTATTGATCAGCACTGACTAGTTATAGGAGATCTCACTTTTAAAGGCGCCAGGATCATATGTAGAAAGTTTGTGCCAAGGATGTGGAAATTGAAGGAGGGGAGGGCTAGATGTCAATTCAAAATGACTGGCGATAAGAGAGGCGGAGGCGGCACAAGCATCCGGCGTAAATGACAAGTGGGAAGCCATGAAGAAAGTCTGGGTGAGGACAGCTAAGAAGGTATGTGGTTAAATAAAAGTGCCCCCAGACATAAAGATACATGGTGGTTGAATCCGGAGCCGGAGGTAGCGAAAGCTGTGGCAGAGTTGTTAAAGTAACGTGCTAATTTTTTTGGTAGCTATAGCTAATAGCGGCTTTTTTTGTAATTATTTAATTTTTAAGCGCGCTACTTTTTTTTTAAAAATATAATGAAGGTAAGTGTAAACATGAAAATTTACATATAATATCATAATTAATCATAATTTTTATGATTTATTATTTAATTTATTTATATTTCATTTGTATTATAAACCGAAATCACGTGTTTATAATTTAAAATGTCATCGCCTATGGATATCCAAATCGTTGAAAGTGATTCAGACAATGATATTAATGAAATGGAAGATACCAGGGAAGAAAATGTTCTTAATAGCTATAATACAAATTTCCCATAGGCAAATTGTCATTTTTACATATAATATTTATTTTATAAGACTCTTCATGAGTTTTATCTAAATAATTTTGGTATAGGCGACTCTACATCCAAAAAGACTAATTCAATTCAAACCAAATTAATTAATAATGCAAATGACAATATTTCTCAGAAATTGGCTGATTAAGTTATTGTTGATTTTATAATTTATTTCAGCCAATGTCCTTAGTTGATAATCCATCACCATGATGGTTAAAACTCTATCCCCTTGGTACAACAATTTTATGCAGCCAGACACTAATAAATAAAATAGCAGATAACTTTAAAATGATGAAAGATGCTCTAATAGTAGAGTTATCAGAGATATCATATATTATGTACCACGGGAGATAGTTGAACACATAACAGAAGGTAAAAACTTATTTATATTTATAAATTGATTTGATTAAATATTTTTGAGCTTTTGGGGAATCACAGGCCATTGGCCAGACCCTAGAACTTTAAAAAGAAGATCTGTGGCATTAGCCCTCAAAATGATAATAGGATGCCAAACATACGATGTACTTACAAATAAAATTATTGATAATCTATCTTATATTAAAAATATTTATATAAGATTAAATATGCCCTTAACCTCAAGTGCTAGTGTCGAGAGATTATTTAATAAGGCAAAACTTATACTTTCTGATCGTCGCTCTAGACTTGGGGATGATAATATTGAAATGATTTTATTATTAAAATGCAACAAATAAATATTTGTTTTTATTACATAAATTTTTTTATAATCAAAACTAACTATATTTTAATATTTATAAATGTTGATTTAAATATATTTACTATACAATAACAGTTTGTAAATTTTTTTTATAAAAAGTAGCTAATAGCGAGCTCCTTTTTTTGACAAATAGCAATAGCGGTAGCGCGCTACTTTTAAAAGTAGCGTTTAACAACTCTGTGCTGTGGACTTTCAAAAAATGGTATAATAGTAAAGATAATTGTGATGACGATATCTACAAGGTGGCGAAAAGAAATGCCAAGAAATTAATAGTGAAATCGCATGAAGAACAAAGGCAGGAGTTTGCAAAGAAATGGAATGAGCGGAAGGGATAGGAAATGTGGTCCGGATGGCTAAGCAAATGGCAAAAAAGAGGCAAGATGTGGTACTTAAATGTTTGAAAAATGGTGATTAATAGTAGTAGTAAAGAACACCTGGAAGATCTAAATAGAATGAGTTTTGAACGAAGAGAATAAATAGGATAATCATGTTAGTTGTGCAAAGGTAAAAGATCTAGGGTATAAATTTGTCAAAGACGAAATTAAGAGAGCATTAAAAAAGGAAAAGCAGTGGGTTTAACGAGAGTGGTATCAGAAATGTTTAAAGATTCTGATGACTTAGGGATTGAATGGTTAATGAATTTAGCCAATCTAATTGTCACAGAATTAAGCGAAAAAGTATTTCCAGTATACAAAGGGAAAGGTAATCCTTTAGATTGCGGGTTTTATAGAGCTATTGAACTCTTGGAACATGCTATGAAAGTATTTGAGAGGGTGTTAGAGAAATGGATAAGGGAACAAACGAAAATTGAAATTCAGTTTGGTTTTACACCGGGGAAAGGCATGACAGATGCAATTTTTGTAGTGAGACAAATACAGGAGAAATATCTTGCAAAGTAAACTGCATTATGCTATTGTTGATTTGGAGACGACATTTGACAGGGTGCCGCGAGAGGTTACTAGATGAGCCTTAAGAAGAAAATCAGGTTTAAAAGAATGGTAGTGATGACAATGTAAGTGAGAGCATAAACTGAGGTACGGACGAATGATGGAGATAATGAAAGCTGTGAAATGAATCTAGAACTTCATCAAGGATCCGTGCTGTGTCCATTATTATCTATCTTAGCAATTGAGGTGGTGGCTAGGGAGATACGTAAAGGAATTCCTTGCGAGCTATTATAAGCAGATGACTTTGAATTAATGGCAAACAGTGAGGAAGAATTGAGGATAAAATTAATAGATAGACATAGAAGATGCCTATGGAAGCAAAGGGCCTGAAAGTGAATGCAGTAAAGATAAAGGTGATGAATGGTGGTGGGGATAATGTAAAGATGGAGGAATCTAGCAATTGGCCTTGTGGTGTATGTGGAAAAGGGGTCGCTAAATAAAATATTGTGAAATTTATCGATTTGATTTTCTAATTTTTGAATATAATATAATTAAAAGATTTTAAATAACAATTATTAAATAAAATTATTAATTCATATTAATTTATTATTAAATATATCCAGTACTTTAATTTTAATGGATTGTCTTATAAGAAAATCTTAATTAGAAGAGTATATAAGTGTTTTTTAAACATTTTGCAGAAAATAAATTATATTTATTCTATTTGCAGTTTAGACAAAGCATTCCAATATCTTAAATTCACAACTACAAAAAGTTTAATAACTTTTAGAAGTCAATAAAAACTTACTTAACCGAAATTTAAATTAACTAAACTGCCCATTTATTTTAAATACTGTCCAAGTCAATGAAATTCTTGCCAAAAATGTTAAATACCTACCAAAGTTTTTATACTGCCCATTTCCTATTAAAAAACGCACCTGATGCCATAAACGGGTGCATAAAGGATGTAGCGAGAAAAAAAGGAATTCTGATGTTAGCAAGAATGACCTTTATTGGTAGAAGGTGCATAAAAGGGGTACATAAGACTGATAACATAGAAAATAGTAGTTTAGATATTGGCAAGGGGTTAACCCTGTGGAAAGTGGAAAAGTTTTGCTAACTGGGTGATATAATGTTGTTGCAAGGGTAAGACACGCATGGAAGAAGTCTAGAGAGATGTCGTCTATTCTAACAAATAAAAACTTCTCTCTGATGCTAAAGTTTACGTAAGCTGTGTGAGGAGTTGTTTAACTTATGGCGGCGAAACATGGGTAATGAAAGCGGCCCACGAAGCCAAATTGAAAGAACAGAGATGAGAATGTTAGATGGATGTGTGGGGTATCTTTGAGAGAGAAAAACTAGCAAGGAATTGCAAGCAAGAATGGGACTAGAAGTGATGGAGTGGTAATGCAAAGAAACACACTAAGATGGCTTGGGCATATGAAGCGTAAGACAAAACATCACTGGGTAAAGAGATACATCTTGATGTAAGTAGGAGGATCAAGACCTAGAGGAAGGCCCAAGATGAAGTGGATAAAGATGATAGAAATGGATATGAGAAAAATGAATCTTAGAAATATTGATGTTCAGGACCGTTAAAAAATAGAAAAGAAAAATCGGAGAGGAAACTGGCCAATCTGGGTAAACCTGGAAATCGCCATTAAACGGAGAAGAAGATGAAAAAAACACGAAATGATATAATTTATGAATTATCTTTAAAATGTGATCATATTTGACCAGTCAAAACCCCAACTCTAGTTTATATAAAGAAAGATTAAGGGTGGTTTTGTTAAAAATATTCATTCGCTTTTTTAATCGGCTAAATAGAAACATTTAACAAGATAATTAAGGATTTTGTTCATGTTTAAATGGGTACAAATTAGCCTTTTTAAAGCGCTTAACTTTAATCTCAATATTTTTATACAATCTTTACAAATTTATATAAAAAAGTCATCACTTCGTTAAGGCCTTTCTCCAATATTTGAGATACCAAGATCCATATTTCAACAGAAACATGACAATTCAAGTCTATCAACGAGAATGATATTAAGTTTTTGACATTTTTTTTGGCCTCGTTGCTCAGTTTTAGCAAAAAGGCTGAACCCGAATCGATATCTGTAGTGAGATCGTGTTTTTTTGAGCCGTCGTCAAACTATTTATTTTATTTTAGTATATGGTAGATAAATTATATTACGGATAATTTATTTTAAGGTAAATATTGCTTAATATCCAAATATTCTGACTAATAATATTTTTAAAAATAATATCATTTCAGCTATCAAATATATAGTTATCATGAGATAATTATAAGGATTTATTAAAAGCGTATAACAAATTGATTATTTTTGCTAAAAAAATTTTTAAAATATGACTTTTTTTAAAAAATAAAAAATGTAAAATTAACCAAATCGATCAAAGGCTTTTCGATAGCTTTTCGATATGGGTGAACTCCCTTTTCGATTAATTCTTCTAATGAGGCTCCGAAACAACTTTTAACGTAGTTGCCTAATATGGATAAGTGAAGATTTTTTAAAGGAGGTAATGCGAATATGGCCATCATTTTATGAAGGAATTATTCGTTTTTTTTTTGAAATTTTAAAGTATTAGAGTTAAGGTGTAAATAAAAATTCTAAAGTATTTTTTTTAATCCAGTAATCATTTTTAATTTGGGAATAATAATCGTGCAGATGTAAAAGCATAGATAATTCTAAAATAAGGCTATTCTCACTATTTTAAAGTATTAAAATAGAGGGAGGTAAGCTAATTAATACAGCACCATATCATCATGGGCCAGTGACAGAGTTTGGTAGGTTCTTAACAAAAGAAATGATCTAGATATATATTATTTGTCAAAAAATGTACTTTATTTACAATTATAAGTATCTTTATTAATTGCATCGTTTGATAAATAAGAGCACAAGATACTTCGTATAAAAAAATTAATTTCTTATTTAATAAAGTTAAAAAATTAAATTAAATTTTATATAATTTATTTTTTCAATAAATATAAATATAAGAAACCTGCAAGGGGTTCAAAATTATTAGTTTGACCTGAATTTTAAAAAAATATTCGTTCTTAAGCTTGGAACGGCCCGGAATTTTTAAAATTTTGATGTGTATTTAAAAATACTTTAAAGGGAAGTGGAAAATGTAAGCAGTAAATAAAATATAAAACACTCCATTTTAAGATTTTCCACCTGATTAATTTATATAATTGGACCCGGCTAGATTTTATATTCTTTATTTTAAAAATTTCAAAACGGAAATTGAAAATGTGAGTTTAAACGGTTCATTTATAATATGATCCCAAAAAATTCATTGATATAATTAAATTTCTTTTATTAAAAAATAATCGGCCCGGGTTTTGAAAATTAATTTTTCGGCATGGGCATTAAAGTGCGCTCAAATTGAGGGTTTGCGTTTTGTCGTATTTTTGTATATATAAAAAAAGTAACGCATCCTTTGTTTAAATTGAGGTTGTCTTTTTATTAGTATTGTTGATTCAAAATTTTAACTAAGGCTTCATTTATAGTAAACACCTTATGATTAAGCTCTGCGTTATTTACAAAATCAAGCAAATAGATAGTATAATTTATAAATATAGAGCTTTATGATGATAATGCTATGGATAAAATTTGAAAAACATAAGTTGCGACGTATATTTCAAAAATTATTAACGTTATGAATTAGAGAGCGTTAAATAACGCAACGCTTGAATATAAAGAGTTTACTAAAAATGAGACCTAAGTTATAAAAAAAAGAGTTGGTTATTGTAAATTATATTACCGTCTGCTTTTTTTTATTTCATTAGTTTCTAAATATTCCATTTTAAAAGTTATTATTTTTACATTTTGTATAATGTTAAATTTAATTTACCTAATATTAAACAACTAGGAAGGGATTTTTAGTGCACCCCTCCCCCATTATTCTTCTCTGGATAACAAGGTTTTGTCAGCATTTATACGAAAAAAACAGAGATCTATTAGAAATGATCGTAGACAACGTACAAAATGAACGAAAAAAAAAATATTCAAAGTTTTGCGTATTTATTCATTGTTTCTAAGGCCAAGAGATAATTTGAACAATTTACGTTACTATTTGAAATGCATTATTTACGTTTGAAACGTTCAATTTGTGCGCACTAGCATAACCATTTTAAAGGCAATTCAGGGCCTGCGAGCCTTTGCAATAAATGCAACGTAACTAGAACGAAAAATGGAATTAAAAGCTAAGTGAAGTGATATAAATTTATTTTAAGAATGACACACCCCTTTATATCCTATATCTTTTGAATGTGAAACCACGTAACTAGAACGAAAAATGGAATTAAAACCTAAGTGAAGTGATATAAATTTATTTTAAGAATGACACACCCCTTTATATCCTATATCTTTTGAATGTGAAACCTTGCGTACGTGTGTGTGCGTATATGTATATATATAGATAAAATATTAATAGCTTAAAAAAGGATATAAAAAAATCTTTTCCGTGCTCTAAATGTAATATAAGTATGTCTTCCATTCTATCGGCCCCTGAGTTCAGTAAAGGAGCATGAGATTTGTTCACGTAGCAACTCAATTCGATAATACAATTTTCACCTTTCATATTTGTATATTAAAATATATAAAAAATTATATCTTATGTAATATGTTATAAAAATTGTTCTATTTAAAATTTCAGTGAAGTGATGACTGACAAGACTAATACATATTATAATGCCAAATTCGTTTTAATTGTAGTATTACTAGCCTTATCTATTTTAAATCGAATTATAAGTGTAAACTGGGATTATGAATTTTTTTTGATATCTAAATATTTTATTCTGATTCGTTAAAATTTTGAAAAAGAAAATAAGTAACAATTTCTTAAAAAAATGAAAACATGATTAAAAATAAAGGAGATCTGAACGACAGATTTCTAGTCAGATATTTTGCCTACAAACTTGTTAATGGATCCTTTTAAAAAAATCGAATCCGATCACGATCTTTTCAAAAAAAAAGGATAACTCATAGACATAGTGATCAATATAAGTATGGCTGAGAAGCTTAACCATTTTATCAACATAATTTGTAGGATCAATTATTATTTGACTATTATAATAATAATAAATCTTTTAGAGCATTAAATAAGTTAAGATCTTGACAACATTTATTTTTTTTTTAAATTTAAATTGCTATTGATTTCCATTAAATCTCGAATTTACACTAACTCTTTTATTAAATAAAAAAATTAGGGGTTTATTTTCTACCCCAATTTTTTTAATCATCCTATGAAAAATAAGGCCATATACATAGAGATCGATTCTCAAAACAAATCAATCTAATGATAAACAAGCCAAAAAATTTTTTATTCTATTTTATATAAAATTAATTTATTAAAACTAGAAAATTTTTCCTACATACCAAATTATACATATAAGTATAGGATGGATGAATGAGGGATTTTTAAAATTTATAATAAAAAAATTACCGGGTTGGACGAAATTAGAACCGAGATATTTGAAGGGTTTAATACAGAGCCAAGATTTGCAATAGCTTTTGAAGCCCGGCTTTTTGATAAATTGAAATTGTATAGGAACCTACCATATAAATATATAAAGACATATAAATTAACCTACAAACCAATTGCCAATTTCCTGCCATGAAGGGGTAGAAATAATATATCACATAATATTCAAATAATAAAATCCCATTTCTAAGTTTAAAGGGTCAAATGCCTTTTTGACCCTCCTTCTGTATATATATGCCTCTGCCATTTTTTGATTGTAAACTATGTCAAAATCAGAACTAATTTAGAGATAAAAAAAAATCAGGACTAATTTAGAGATAAAAAATATACAGTCTCGTGCAATTATGCTCGAAATATAAAAATATAAACATTAATTACTTGTCCTATATTGGTCAGTGTAACCTTTTTGATTATGTGCTCCATAAAATAGACGTTTCCAAAATTAATCTAAATATTTAAAAATAATACAATTATGAAAATTTCCAATATTTTCCTTAAATTGCACATATATCACAAAAAAATAGAACTTTACTTCCAATTTATCGACACTGGCTTGTGGCAAATAATCATTCTCGATACGGTCGATATTTTTCATAGCGAATTCGTAAGCTTTTTTGAATTTATTTTGGTCAATAACGTGAACCTAATAAAATTATTAGATTTTTTTAAAGTGATTTTGCAGTATAATGTCAAGAGTCGATATCGATGATGGGGACAGTGCTATAGACAATTTAAGTTAGCGCTAAAATTTTCTTTAATTACTCTAGGTTACGATTGGCAGTTTATAGTTATTTTTTAAGGATGACTGGCTATGTAGAAGCTTAATTATAAACTTTTATACCGACGAATATTTTGATATGATTCTAATTATACTATCATTTTAAATTATATATTATTAATTTTTATTATAGAAATTTAACCTATCAAAAATTTATTTCAATTTTAAATTTAAGAATACATTCCAATTGAATCCTATTTTAAATTTAGGCCATGGTCCATTCAATATTATTCATTATTTTAGACACTTGCATTATTAAACTTTTTTAAATAAGATGAACGAGAGGAAATAATAAGTACTTATACATCGTATCTTTTTTATAGGCACAAATATAATTACATGTCTCCTTAAGAAAACTTTAGGATAGTTATTTTTATTATTAAAATTCTTGTATCTCAGGTTTATAAATTACGCAATTTACAATTCATCCCAAACAGCACTTTACTCCTTATAGTTTATGATTTCTAAAAGCGACATTATAATTTAATATTTTCCGATATATTTTTTTTAAAATTCTTTTAAAAATGCAAGCTCCGTGAAAAAAAAATTAAACTTTAGTATTGAATAGAGCGCTAACGGGTTTATGATCGCTTAAACGCAAAGCGAGATGACTTCTATAAAGTAGGAGGTTGACTTTTTCGGAGCTAGCCGATTTCCAGAGAATTCTATCGCACCATGATGGTACTCTAGCCTTTTCGCTTTTTTGAGTTTAAAAGTTGAACATTACTTCTTTTTTTAAAATCTTTATTAACTTTTATAAAATAATAGTTGATGTAAAATTTGGGATAATAATTCAACTCAAGGAATTTCAACTGAAGGAAGTTTTTTTAATTGGATGAGATATTTAAAATTAAACTGAAGTAAGGAGTAGGATTAGGAATCAAGATTAGAGATATAGGTTAAGGTTAATTAAAAGTTTGAGAGATTTTAGGGTTAAGATATGTTAATAAAAATGGTTTTTAATGAAATTCAATCTAACCTGTCAAATCTGACAGGTTATGTAATTATAAATAGACGAATATAAATTTATATAAATCAGCTGTTGCAATGTAATGGCAATTTCCCTGAGTCGGACCATAATCAAAATTAGGTAAGTAGGTAGCTATTGAGCCATATTCACGATATATTGTTTTTAGTTTTGTTCGATCTTCCGGCGACCAATATTTTTCTGAAACCACCATTTGGATGAGGTTAGGGTTAAAGGACCATAAAGATATATTAAAATTAATGTTTAATAAATATCCGCTCCTAAAATTCTGAAAGAAAAAAAATAGATCACCCGATTTACAAACTAATAAAATTCAAGATGGAATACTGTTTAAATTTAGAAGACATTTTAGGGGAGGTAGAAAAAATAAAAATTTAATTTTTTTATATTAAGAATTGAAAACCCTGTTATTAATCAAGTAACTTTTTATGTAGGAGAAAAATAAAATATTTGAGTTTATGAGTCCACATTTTGTTCAAAACGTATTTATTTCCCCTCAAGTTACAGTAGACCTAAAGATAATATTAACTGTGTGTCACGATAGCAATTATAAATGCTCAAGAAGATAAATATATCATAATTTTAACATTAAGGTTATAAGCACCGTTATGCCAGTAAATTCCTTTTACTCTCATAATCATCTAATAAAGTCACCCTTACACCAGTTAACTTTTTTTTCTCCCCCTTTCTCATAATTGTCTAAAAATTACACATTTTGCGACGCTCGCTGATCTCATGATAAATCAGATCACAGATGTCAAGCATTATTTTGCACGTTAGATGTATACTAAAAATATCCCATCTAAGAGGAAAGAATAAAATTTTCAAGGATTTTGTATTAGCTTTTTGCCGTGGGCATTTCCAATCATTTGCTTTCATAAAATTTCAACATCTATGCTAAATTCTTATATGAATATATAAAGACCACAATAACAGCCTATACTTTTAATCTGGAATACATGGTGATTTCTTATGACCAGAGAAACAAATTTTGGTGTGATTCTGTGGTAAATTTTTGTATTACCAGATATGCCTATATTTCACAAATGAATAAATACAAACTGATTATTTTCATATCGAAAAATTTATTGTTTAAAATCATGCGATCTATGAATCTGTCAAAATTGCTGCGCTTACTGATAATGCGACCAATACGAAATTAGCTATTTAAATTATTATCCTTATTTTTGGTAGAAAAATAAATTAAAAATGTTTTTTTATCTTTTCAAATCAGAAATTTTTTCAAATATATTATAAACACCATTTATGTCATATCTTAATTAAAAATTCATTTTAAATATTCTTTAAAAAAATCTAAAATATTGCGTCATCTAGCGGATATATTTATATCATTAAATTTGAAACTCCTGAAGGAAGCAAAATTTATAAACTTTATTAGAATCCCGGAAAAAAACCCCTGGAAAAAAAACCCCGGAAAAAAACCCCCGGAAAATAAACCCCCAGGAAAAAAACCCCCAGAATTTTTTTTCATTTTTATAGAATTTAATTAAGACCTAATAATATAGGCATATTTTTATTTGGCCTACCCTTCATAAAAAAATGCTTAAATAAGAAATGATGTTTGAATTGGTACTGGGAAAAAATGCCTCAGTAAAATAACTATGTATTGTAAAAAAAATTTGCTATAGTAAAAATACGATCTTTAAATATGATATTAAATAGACTAAATTTGACAAAATAAGAAATTTTTATTTTATTGGTAAATCATGATTATGTATATACAAATTTTATAATTTATAATAATAATTATATGGGTTGACATCGAATATTGAAGGAAATCGCTCTTATAAAATCTGGAAGGCTTCGCACCCCATCACGGTATTCTTCGCAAAGTTTCTTTAGCCGAATCTGGTTGTTAGAACTCTGCGATTTTGTTTTCGATGTACAACTACCTATGCGCCATCTTTCAAGTTTGGTTTCATCGGCAGCCACCTCGCATTTCATTTTTGAGTACCCAGATTGATGGGTGTTTATTCCCAACCAGATTAGAAAAACGATGATTCCAACCTTCGCATTGATTATTTGTTCGTTCTTCATCTGAAAGAGTGCTCTGATTCACGTTCCAGGTTTCTGGAGGAAATCGAGGCTCAATTCGACGTGTTTGGGATTGAGAATTGCTTCTTATGACCTCCCTTGATACTCCATTGACATAATTTTTATCGAAATAATCAAGAATATCCTTACCATTGCTCGGAGTAACCGATCTCAGGAATGTCATTGCATTGCCCATATCACATAACGGAAATGCTAAGCCGTCCATCATGCCACAAAAAAAACTTAGTTTCATAGGTCCTGTATATACCACTCTGTCCTATTAAATATTAGATTCAAGGAATCATCTGTTGCGAACATTATTATGCGTTCTTCAGCTTGTGGGCCATTATCAAATAATAAAAATCGTTTTGAGTTCTGGGAGCCACAATTTGCCCAATCACCTATAATATTTAAATTTTTATGAAAATATAATTATATTTAAACTAATACCTTCAATAACTAGGTCTTCCAAATTCTCAAGATTTGAAGGGTGTTGCATTGCTTTGTGATTCCTTAGAGTTCTTTTTATAGAATCTTCTGATAACATATGCGATTGAACTCTTTGGTCTAATTTTACAATTTCCTCTGCATAAATTTGAAGAGGTTTTGCCAAAGAGTCTGCACATCGCTTCTTCATGTTAGCAATGGATTTCATTGCTACTAGTCCATCAATATTTGATGGATGATTATGAGCTGTATCAAGAACCGGGTCTTGATTATCGAATGTTGAAAAAAGTATTGCTCGGCATTTAAAAGAGAATATGAATAAAATATTTTTGTAAATTAAAAATTTTTTTTTGTCTTTATATACAGCATAAAGATCCAAATTATTATTGTTTAATTTTATAAATAAATACCAATTATAGCGTTTTTAATTGATAAACAATTTTTATTCTTTTGATTAAAAATACATTTTAAAACTTTTTTCCGGGGGTTTTATTTCCTGGGGGTTTTATTTTCCGGGGGTTTTTTTTCCTGGGGGTTTATTTTCCGGGGATTTTTTTTCCGGGGTTTTTTTTTCCAGGGGTTTTTTTTCCTATTACCACTTTATTAGTATTATAAAAACTTTATAATAAATAAACAAATATTTTCATATTTAATTTTTACTTCTTTCCCTATAAATGTAATGACTATTTTAAAATAAATTATAAATTAACAACTATAAACATACTATAAATATGTTTTTATATCATTACATTTATAAACTAAAGTATTCAAAACTTAATCTAAAAACTAATAATAAATATCCAAAACGTTTAACGTTTATGGGGCAGATTTTTTAATAGGGTTGCTTTGGCAACCTATACTATTTTAAATTTAAGTAAGAAACTGTTGAGCTAATTAGGTAGCATTGGGGTTCGCTCGCCATCTGACCATTATACATTAAGCATCACTGACGAACGCTTTCTGAATGAGATGATGGTTGAAGCGGTGCAGAATTTGCCAGCTGAATAGCTTGAAGCTATGCTCCTACCTAGATTAGAGGTTTTTAGGATGTCCCACTTGTTTTTCCTTAAGTATTTTATGTAGTCAAATTGAATGGCTACCATCCTCTCCACTATCTATTATGTAAGATTTTCAATAAAGCAGGTTACCTATCTACCCTGAAAGCTGTAGGACTCAATAAAGCTGACGGAAAATGATTAGAATGAAAATATCTAATAAAAATACTCTTTCAAATGAGTTCTTTATTTTATTAAAACAAATATGTACATATAGAATAAACATAAAAAATATTTTAAAAAAAAATATATTATAGTGCATACAAAGAAAAATTAATAGTAGTAATCATTTTCCTCTGGTGATAACCGGGTATTAAATTTAAAATTGTAACGTGAGATTTCACTAATTTTATCAAAAAGGCCTTCGAAGTTGTTTTAAGGCTCTTGGCTAATGAGTTTGATTAGGGATTTGCCTATTTCCCAAATAAACAATTTATTGACCACGATGGATATATAATAGGGTTGGCCAATAAGAATTAATTTAATTTAAATCATGATTTAAATTGTGATTTAAACCACTTCTAATTTTTTTTAAAAAAATTAGTAATTTAAATAAATATTTTAAATAAAATTCTATTTACTAAATTTGATCAGACTTAGATTATTCTAGAATCAAGTAATCTTTATATAAAAAATAATACTATATTGTACTACTAGTAATCATTACTTATTAGATAAAAAAAATACTTGATTTATTTTGTATTTTAATTGTTTCAATTTTTGACATTATTAATAGAATATATGAAGATTATTTAATATTCTAAAAAAAATTAGTTTAAAAGTACTGTGAACCCTCCTTCTAAAAAAGGCTTCTGGTTCTTAAATATCTCTGAACCCTGTTCGATTTATGGTTTGCAGTCTAGAAAAATAAAGACTATAAAATTTAGTAATAATAACAGAAACATCAGTTTTTTTTATTTTACATTTAGACCATAAAAATAATTTTATCATTACAATTGGAATAATGCAATAGAATAATACATTACCAGGGATGTATCGATATTTATTTTTAAAAATATCAGATATATACCGATATTATAAAATTTCCCGATCCAATTTTAAATAAAATGTATCTCAAATTATATAAATAAATAAATTATTAATAAAAATATTTTAGATTCATGAATATATACCATAACTGATCATTAAAATA